ATGGGGGTTGGGTTGGGGCCCTGAGACCGAGGTAGGGGGTGTGCATGCCCCTTGAAGAGGGTGGGAGCCACAGCCAAGCTGACTGGGGGTGTGCAGGTGAATCCGGCCCCACAGGTCTCCAAGCCCCAAGGGCAGACAGGAATCCAAAAGTGCCTCATGCCAAGCGCCTGCCATGTGGGGCTGCTTAGGATTTGGGGCCGTGTTTTCAATGGAAACATTGTGGAGAGAAAAACGCACATGAAGTGAAATGACGCCCTCGTGAAACCCTCCCGGGGCTGGGTGTCTGCACTGCCCGTGTTTGCAGTCTCTCCTGGGAACAAGACCCGCCTGGCCTCTGTTCTCTCCTCCACTTCCGCCACAGCGAGGCTGAACTCAGGACAGCTCCTTTTCACAGTCCTAAGGGATCCTGGCCGGAGGCAGCCAACCCCTGTCGAGGGCGAGAGGGGCGCACGCTCGCTTTCTCAGTGAGGAGTTTTCTCAGTGATGCCTCCATCACTGCACATACTCCAACCCGGCCCAGCAGAGAACAAAAGTCCCGTGGGCTGGGCAATCTCAGAAAAGACAGATAAGCCAGAACCGATGGCCGCTCTCCACGCAGGGAGGACAGCCAGCCGCGTGGGCAGGAATCTGTGTCCTCAGAGCTGGGACAACACAGAGCCCAGCGTGCTGCTGATCGGTACCTGCCGAACGAATGAGGGAACACCTGTGCCATCAGCCAGCAGTAACTGCAGGCTGGTATGGGGTCAACCGGGAGGACGCGAGCTCTGCAGACCTCTGCTTCCGGAAACGCATCACCACTCACCCACCCCACCCCCTGCCGCGCAAAGTCAGTGGATGTTATCTGGATGAGGCTCTAGGGGTCTGCACGTGGGACCTTATCTGGAAATAGTATCTCTGCAGGTATCATCAGCTGAGGTCCTACAAGGGTAGGGTGGACCCTCAAATCCCATCTTGTGGTGTCCTTACAAAAGAGAAGGTACAGAGAGGCAGACGAGAGGGAGATGGCCATGTGAGGGAGGGGAGGCAGAGATGGACGGGTGGCACAGCTGCAAGCCAGGGAATGCCTGGGCTACAGAAGGTGGGAGGCAGGAAAGAGCCTCCCCTGGAGACTGCAGAGGAGGGCGGACCGTGGACCTTCTGAAGCAGACTCTGGCCCCCGGAGCTGGGAGAGAACACATTCTGCTGTTTAAAGACACCCAGCTGGCAGTATCTTGTCACAACAGCCCCAGGAGATACAAGGCCCCACCTGATAGCCCCACCCACAGAAGTCAGAAAACTTCGGCCTTGGAAATGATGGGTCTCCATGGCTCAGAGTGAGAGGGGTCTGGACCTTGGAGGCCAAGTGAAGGGCGTCACCGTCGTCAGTGCATGGCCCAGACCACAAGAACCTCCAGCCAGCAGCCAAGATCATTCGCCCAGCTGCACAGACCATGTCTCCAACAGTGACCTCTGGTGGTGGTGAGATGTAACGGCAGTGGTGGACTGATCTGACCTCAGGGCTCTCTCCTGGCATTTGGATGAGGACCGAGGAGCAAGTGAGACCCCAGGCATTGTGGCAACATCCGCAGGGAGAGGCAGGGCGGCACAAGGCAGTTGGTGGGCATGCTGCTAGTGGACACATGGGGATGATTAATTTAAAAAGCCCTTCACTGTGAGGCAACTGCATTTACACCCCAAGTTGTACAACTGTCACAGTCACGCGTCACATTATGGCCCACCTGGTTGTGCCCTACAGTCCCCCCAACCTAAAGCCACATATCCTCCAGGTCCTTACTCCAGCCTAGATGGACTAAGACCAAACTGCAGATTCTCAGCTGGAGACGTGTGGCCCCAAACCTCACTGGACCACAGGTGGTACCATCACCAGAGCCTCATCCCAGCAGCACCGCACAGTGAAGATGCGGGGGCAGGCGGGGCAGGGCTGGAAGCACACGGTACCTGCGGCAGGCCTCCCCAGGGAAGAGCAGGAGAGCCTGACTAAAGGGGGGCCTGAGCTGTGTGGGTAGCACACGGCCTGATGACCCAACCTGCTGATTCAACGTGGAGCCCCGGCTGCCCGCCGGAGCTTTGGCCCTTGTCAGTGCCAGGCCTCGCCAAGCAATTTCAAACGGCGTGGCTGCTGCTCTGGTTGTCAGCTGGCAGAGGCACACCAGACACATCACGGGAGGGTCGCAGTGCAGGACGTGTTGGAACCACGGTGACCCCAGGGCAGGAGCAAAGCCAACCATGTAGTCCATGCATGCTGAGTTCAGCAAATCCAGCTGATGAGAGCTGAGGTGAGGGTGACTGACTGGTCGGTTCTGTTTCTTCCCCACATGACGGTGACCCATCACAGGTGGTACACATTGGACAACATGGCCCCCACGGTGTGACTGCAAAGCTTGTGGGCTTGGCATCACTACCTGGAGCTGACACGCGGCTGAAGGAGTCCCCATCCTCCCTCACCACCCTCGTGTCTTCCCACAGAGAACAGCCCTAGTCACACACCTCCTGAACCCATTAGCCAGCAGGACCCAGCAGTTTTGGACATGGTCCAGACACAGCAGCATGACATCATGCCCAGAGGCACAGCCCAGGTTCAGTGTTCTCCCAGTGCAGGCCAGGGCCGCTCAGAAGGCCCACCCACATCCCCTGGGGGCCCTCCCCATCCCTCGGAGACCCCCCTCGCACCGCCACTGGCCTGAGGGGGTACGGTTACTGAACTCCACAGCACACTCCTCCAGCAGAGGGCTGAGGGCAACGTGGGCACTCCCGAGCCCCACCCCCAGTCCTCCCACAGTGCCAGAGGGGCCCTGCAGAAAATGGTGCCCATCAGACAGATCGTTTTAACTCAGAAACGTCCTCAAAAAATGTAAAAACAGCCTTCAGGAGAAAAACCCCAAAACCCTAGAGAACGCTGCCTGGCTCTAATTACCACCCTCCTCTGGTATGCGCAGAATTCTCTGCCTCCCTCCAGACACCAGGCCTCCACGCACACGCTCTCCTTTAAAAATAACTGCAGGGGCCAGCCCTGCAAACAGAGGCTGGCTTCACCCGCTCCCCTCCCCTCCGACTGCAGAGCTGGCCCCTGCTTTTCTTCACAGAAGGCAGACGTGGGCGCCTTCTAGACCCCCATCCACAGCACCTAGCCCCTCAGGGCCTGTCATTCACACTGGACATGTCTTTAGAAGGCTGGCTCCTCCCACACTCACATGCAATGGGCAAGTGGGCATGGACGAGAGTGAAATGCGTATCACAGGGACCCTGCCCTGCCCGCAGCCCTCGGAGGCTTGGACGCCTTCCAGAACTCTCTCCTGAGCTCCCAGTGCCTGCAGCCTGAAGGGTGCCCCCACACACACGGCCACACTACCCCCATCCCGGGTGCTGCAGCGGCCCCACAGGCGGGCACCCTGGCTGGAGATGCCATTCAAAGCCCTGTGCACCTCCCCTGAGGGGGAGCAGGGTGCTGGGGAATTCAGTAGGTGCCCACCCCCACGCGGGGCAGTGAACAGGCTCGCTGCTCACCGGAAGGCTGGAGGTTGAGTCCACCCAGAGCTATCGTGGAAGAAAGGCCTGAGGTTCTTCTGAGAGGCCACGACCACTAAACAAAGCAGCCTCACGGAGCCCACGGGGCCGCCCTGACGCAGAGGCCGCCTGACGGCATTGGTACCCACGCCAGCCCCGCCTGCCCTGGACTCGCTGGGCCGGCCGACGCACCGCACCTGCATCCTGCGCAGATGTCCCCGCCTCCCTGCTGTCGTGGGGCGGCTGCCTCTGGGCTCTGCTGCTCCCCGAGTCTCCGTCAGAGAGCCCGGGCGACGACCTAGCGTTTGGGCACATCCTGCACTAGCTGTGGCTGCCCGCTGCCAGGCTTTAGCTGCCGAGACGAATTACACACACACACACACACACACACAAGGGAGCTTGCCTTCTCAACCGTGATGGCATGTGTAGGGGTCAGTGAGGGAGTACCCTGTAAGCAAGATAAGCACAGGCTGACTTGTGCCTACTCATTGATCTGCAGAGAACAGTTTCACTTGTTTTGGGGGCCAGGGCAGGAGCCAGACCCCAGGAATGAGGGAGGGGCGCCAGGGGCCGGGGCAGAAGCTTCGATGAGGCCGGTCTAGATCCCTGAGCCTTACTCAGCCCCCGAGGGTGGTCTCCTTGGATATGGAAGGAACACACCATTCCAGGTGGAGACAGAGGGGGCTCCTGGCCCAGGCCCTGCACAGAGAAGGCCTTCACTTCACGCGGTGGAACAGGGTGGACAGGACGGGTCAGAACCCTGGCAGGAAACGAGCGACTGCTATATCCAGCCCCAAAGACGTGTGGGGCTCTTGAGTAATTTCCTGGAGAAATCACAGCCTTCAGAGACCACCGACATCTCATTAACATACGGATCCGGCCCTGCAGCCGGGACCGCTGACGAACACTGCAGCAAGGCACATCTCGGCAGTAGGAGCGGCCGAGACCTCCCCTTCTTCAGGGAAGGAGCGCGTCCGGCCAGTAGCTCGCGGGCTCACCACCCGAGGAGAGGACGGGGGCAGGGAGCCACACAGCACATCACTCACATGGGGAGCGGCCCGCTCACCCCAGCTCTTCAGCGAGTTCCACGGGGCAGGACCACTGCTCCGCCTTGCTACTGGCCATCATGCAAGGTAAGTGAGAGGGACCGATGGACCCCTGACCTGCACAAGCGCACTTCCACTGAGTCAGAGAAGTGCCCGCAGCTGCTGGGCACGTGTGCACGAAAGCCATGCCTGGGGTGCCCCATCCTGAGTGCTGTGTGGCTGACCCCAAGGGCCAGTGAGGTCCTTGTCCACTAGAGTCCAATAACAGAGACAAGCGCAAAGGAATCGCAGAGAGACCAAAAGACCCCTCTGTGCCGCCTCAGCAGGGTCTAAGCTCCACACACAGTCACACGGACGCCGGGACCCGAGCCCTGCACGCAGTCACACGGAGGGCAGCTGTGCCACCGTGCAGAGTCACATCTGAGGACTGAAGCCAGTTGAGTCACTCACCAGGTTGTGTGCGAGGTGGATGGTGACCAGCGGAGACCCTGACAAGGTCTGCGAGAGAGTGGGCGGTGGGGACATCTCCAGTGAGATCAGGAGACTGGCAGCCGACATCAGGTGGTCTTGGTGTTCCACCGCCTTGGGGATCCTTGGAGATCAAAGGAGAAGCCTCAGGAAATGGGAGCGAGAAGGGGCGCCCGGGAGAGAAAGCCTGGGGACAGAGTGCTCCCAGACAGGGTGTGGGTGTACCTGACGCGTGATGTAAGGGCGGCAGGAGGGGTGTCATGGTGAGCAGCCACCACACATAAGCACACCTCCCCACCCCCGCCCGTGCAGGTGACCCGGAGACTCACTTAGTGTCGGCCGGGTGGATGTTCTTCAGGTAGCAGTGCGCCCACTGGTACAGGAGCCCCACGACAGTGGTCCAGGCTGCAGGGAGA